CAACCCTGGAAAAATCAATGGCAAAACAAATGGGGTTGATATGATTAGCCTGAATCATTACAATTCAACCACTGAGGCCTCACACTGTCTGAACAAAAGAAGCCTTCACAGCTAAAAGATGAAGACTTCACTGTTAGCAAATGTCTTCAATCAGCCAAAAATTATGTATTTATCTCTAAAGACCTATAATTCCATTTTCAGCAAGTTAATACGTTGAACAGGGACATGCAGTGAAGTAGGATGAAAATCCAACTATAAAAGATTGATAAAATATTAGCCTTGACTAGTTGGAGCTTTAATAAAAGGCTAAACAAGTTTTAGTCTTACTTTTAAGATAATTCTAAGTATGTGATATTTACCATAAAGGCTTCATTAGTGAACATTAGAGATTTATCATTTTCCTTTCATGTAATGACCTTTACCGTTTACTAAATGACATTTGTTAAATTAAATCAACAAGTCCTCCAAGAAGAAACATGAAATTGTAGGCAAGTGTCTAAATGTTAATGTTGCAAGCCCATGAATAACCTTTAAGTTGTCTCTGCAGAGGCGAATTCATCATTAAATATGACCAGTTCACTAGCGCCGAGAATTCCAGGAGCACCTGTTTTCTATGAGATCATAACCATGATTCAGTTTCCACACAAGAATTTTTCAACAACCTGTTTATGAGTCTATCTAACCATATCATCCAAAAGGACTTACCAAGTTCTTAAACACAGTTATACTACTTCCCTGGTGTATCGAATCACAATCACACATATGTGTGTGTGTGTGTGTGTGTGTGTATACATATATATGTGTGTATACATATATATGTGTGTGTGTATGTATACATATATGTGTGTGTGTATATGTGTGTGTGTATGCATATGTGTGTGTATACATATATATGTGTGTGTGTGTGTATACATATATATATATATATATATTCTGTAAAGATTTTGAGACAAAGTTTTGCTCTTGTCACCCAGGCTGGAATACAGCGGCGTGATCTCCACTCACTGCAGCCTCCACTTCCTGGGTTCAAGTGATTCCTCTGCCTCAGCCTCCTGAGTACCTGGGATTACAGGCACTCAGGTGCCACCCCACCTGGCTAATTTTTGTGTTATTAATAGAGATAGGGTTTCACCATTTTGGCCTGGCTGGTCCCGAACTCCTGACCTCAGGTGATCCGCCCACCTCAGCCTCCCAAAGTGCTGGGATTACAGGCATAGCCACCGCGCTCAGCCTGGAAAGACTTTTTTCCTGAGAAAACTGGTGCCGACTCCCAGCAATAAGCTTTTCCTCTTCTAGGTTCCTACTAACCGTTCATTTGATAACTGCCCATGGTGCTGCCTTCACTGAATTCTGCAGCCATAAGTTACAGAGGGTTCTCCTTAGAAAGGAGCACAGTTGTCCCTCCGTGCTTTCCTGGAGAAGTCATATTCTCCACAGTCCTCAAATATCACATGGACTGTGGTTCACTGGGTGTGTTAAGGCGTTCTTGTATTGCTATAAAGAAATAGCTGAGTCTGGGTAATTTATAAAGAAAAGGGGTTTAATTGGCTCACGGTTCTGCAGGCTGTGCAAGAAGCATGATGCTGGCATCTGCTCGGCTCCTGGGAGGCCCTGGGAAGTATAATCACGACAGAAGGCAAAGAGGGAGCAGACAGGTCATATGGCCAGTGTAGGAGCAAGCGAGACAGCAAGGGGGGAGGTGCCACACACTTTTAAACAACCAGATCTCTCAAGAACTCACACTCAGGAAGACAACACTCAGCCATGAGAGATCTGCCCCCAAGATCCAAACACCTCCCACGGGGCCTCACTTCCAGCATTGGAGATTTAGAGGGGACACAGATCCAAACTATATCACTGAGCCATCCCTGTTTGGCTCTGTCCTCAGACAAAATGCTTCTGGAAAAGGAGCTCAGATCCTTTGTGCCCACATTTGTTTCACTCTGAAATATGCTTAGACTTGCCAGAAAGCAATGGAAGCAAATGAAGGCTGTGCTGTCTCTTTCTGACACCTCAGCTTATATCACCTGTCCAGAGAACGAAACTCTACCCTTCTTGTACATTTTCTTGATTCAAATACAATATTCAAAAGAACAATAATTTATTTATTTTCTTTTATTCAGAAAATGGAACACCTCTGACAAGTCTGTAATGACCCTGACTTCCGGGTGATGCGACCGTGTGGTCTTATATACCATGCTCTACTCTTTCGTGCCTTTACAAGTTTTTAATATAAATAGGGCCTTTAGAAAAAAAAATTAGATTTTTTTTTCCTGGTGGAAAACTAGCAGTTTTGAATTCCCACTATTCATTCAGAAAATATTTAAGCACTTACTATGTGCCTGGTGTTAAACAAGACACTCAACAAATGCCATCTCTAACCTGTTGGTAATGACTGCTAATCATTTGGGTGTTTTCTGCATTTTTCTGATGAGGGAATAAATGCACAGAGAGCTTATTGAACCTGCTCAGGGTCCCACAGACAATAACTAGAGGTGCCAGAAACCCATATTACTGCCGAGTTTGTTTGGGTTTCATTTTCCTAACACTACTTCTAAGAATTGTGTCACTTTGTTCCTACAGAGATGTCAAGAATACTAAATGGGGAAAGGAGAGCCTCTTCAACAAATGAAAATGGGAAAACTAGATACCCACATGTAAAAGAATAAAACTGGATCTTTATCTTCCATCATACACAAACCTCAGATGAAAATGGACTAAAGACTTAAATGTAAGACCGGAATCTACAAAACTACTAGAAAAAACCAGAAGGGCAAAACTCTATGATACTGGTCTGGGCAGTGATTTTTAGGAATGACCGAGAAAGCACAGGCAATAAAAAAGCAAAAATAGACAAACAGGGTTACATCAAACTAAAAGGATTAGCAAAGCAAAGGAAACACTCAACGTAATGAAGAAACAACCTATAGAATGAGAGAAAATGTTTGAAATGCATGTATCAGATAAGGAGCTAACACTGAAAATATGTAAGGAACACAAACAACTCAACAGCAAGAAAACCAATAACCCAATTTTTAAGTGGGCAAAGGACCCAAATAGATATTTCTCAACATAAGACATACAAATGGCCAATGAGTTCATGAGAAATGCTTAACATCACTAATCATCAAAGAAATGCAAATTAAAATCACAATGAGATGCCATCTCACACCTGTTAGAATGGTGGTTATCAAAAAGATGAATAATAACAAGTGTTGGTGAGGATGTGGTGAAAAGGGAAACCTTGTATACAGCTTGTGGGAATGCAAATTAGTACAGCCAGCATAGAAAACAATATGGAAGGTACTAAAAAAAAATAAAAATAGAACCACTATATGATCCAGCAATCTCTTTACTGGGTAACTATCCAAAAAAATTAAAATCAGTATATCAAAGAGACATCTGCACTCGCATGTTTAATGCAGCATTATTCACAATAATGAACCTAAGTGTTCATTATTCACAATGAAATCAACCTAAGTGTCTCTCAACAGGTGAATGGATATATATAAATGTGGCATATATACACAATGGATTATTATTTAACCTTAAAAAAAGGGAAATCCTGTTACATGTGACAATATGGATGACTCTGGAGGACATTATGTCAGCTGAAATCAGCCAGGACAGAAACACAAATACTGCATAACCTCACTTATGTGTGAAATCTGAGAAAGTCTAACTCCAAGAAGCAGAGCATAGAATGGGGGTTACCAGGGACAGGGATGGGAGAGTGGGAGGGTTAGGGAAATGTTGGAAAACGATACAAAATATCTGTTAGACAGGAGAAATAAATTCCAGAGATCTATTATACAACATGGTAATGTAACTAATAACAATATATTATATTCTTGAAAAAATTTAAATAAAAATATACAATAATTTTTTTAAAAAAGAATCATGCCATTTGATAATAGCTTGCCTTGCTTATGTGGCCCTGTCCTACAGTTAGCACTTGGCATTTTTATTCCCGAGCCCAGTGATACACGTGGTGTTTATAGAGTGGCAGCTTCAGGCTTCAGACACTTCCTGGTTACCGTCTTCATCAGGATCATTCATTACTGAGGTGACATTTTATTTTTAGTGTGTTTCGGCTGCCTCCAGGAGTACATCTCCGAGGCACAACCACCCCCAAATTTGGAAAGACAAAAAACCCGGGAGGCATGGGATAGCTGATCCCAGTTGAGAGATGTCAGCAGCCTTCCTTCCCTCCGTTCCCAGCATCTCCTTATCTGAGGTTCTTCCCTCTGTCTCCCCGCTTGTTCTCAGCCCTGTGCCTTGCTCAGGATGGCAATAGTCAATTCTGCAACGATCCCCTAAGCCCAACCAATGGTCCCTCTTTTGCTCTGCAACTTCAGCTCTGATATTTTGCAAATTTCCTGTCCCCTGTTCCAGTTCCTGGTCCCCTCTAATTTTCTGTGCTCAGAACTTTCTCATCTCCTCTGTGCTACCAACAAAATGAAACAACAAAACCACCCTCAAAAATCTGTCATTCTCTTGAACCAGCGTTACCCTTAGGGTTTCGGATGATGAAAGCACAACTGTGGCCGGGCGCCGTGGCTCACGCCCGCAATCCCAGCACTTTGGGAGGCCGAGGCGGGCTGACTGCCTGAGCTCAGGAGTTCGAGACCAGCCTGGGCAACACGGTGAAACGCTGTCTCTATTAAAATACAAAAAACTAGCCGGGTGTGGTGGCGTGCGCCTGTAGTCCCAGCTACTAGGGAGGCTGAGGCAGGAGAACAGCAAGAACCCAGGAGGGGGAGGTTGCAGCGAGCCGAGATCGC